ATGGTTGATCCCGGAACGACGTTCCCTCCGCCTTGAACACCGGCCCATTCCCGTACATTTTCAGTTTTATTAATAACAATTTATATACCAAAATCAAACAAGAAATAAATAAACAATCACTCTCTGATTTTCTCGACGTTATTTGTTAGAAATTATTTGAGCAGAAGAAAGATTAATGTTTCCTACAGAATTAAGAATCTGGTGAGAGAAATATGGACGAAAAAATTATTTAAATATATACTTTTTTCCAATTGGAGCTGGACATTCGCACCAAAAAAACCTTCAACACAAAATAGAGAAGCTAAGCGTCAAATTTGTTGGTGGAAACACTTATAGACGAAGATGATATTAAATGGTTAATAACGATTTATCTAAATGTAGTAGTGGTACTTTATAGTGTGTAATATGAAAGTAGCTGTTGTAATATACAAAAATAGAAAACCGTTTGTTGGATAGATAGTTTGACCACATTATAACCAAACAAAAAATTAAGATTATCCACATTATAATTTATAATTCGTAGATGTATTTAGTTGACCAGACAGAATTTAAATCTTGAGATTTTGACAAGACAGAAGTTGAATCTCTTACGATTTGTACAATATTAATTTGCTTCTTCAGGGTTACTAGGAAAAGTATTTGCTTCTAGAAAGAAAAAAAAAAAAAAGAAGAAAGAATCTTGTCCATGATAGTGGTTTATTCCCTCCCACACACAGAAGTAAATTAAGAAATGAAAGAGAACTTTCACTAGACCTAGCCGATTGATGGCTTTCGAGAAAATATGGTTTAGTGCATTCGAAATTTCTAATCATTAAGAGAAAGAATAGTGTGAAGCTTTTTTTTATTTTTATTTTTTTATCTAGAATTTTTCCGGACTTTTACCACCCGATTAGTTTTTATAGGATTGTGTAGCCGTTCCTACTCACTGAATTTTATAATAGATCTAAAGCATTACACTATCTCCAACGGAAAAATAGTTTGATTTTATAAAATTCTTGATTGAGGGGAATCAATCTCTAGCATAATTATCAATGACACTATTTCTCAAGTGGAAACTACTAAACTACTACCACTTAATTTATTAAAACTTCTTTTCAAAATATAAAATATGTAAATTGTGATTTAGAAAAAAAAATTAAAATAAATGAGAGAGTTGGGAAAATAGTCTAAATTTTACAAACAAAATAGTCAAATATATAAACCCTGAAAACGAAATTCTTAATCACAATTCCTAACCCATAACACCTAGCTAATCTTTAACCATATAACGTTAACAAAATGTTTTCAACAATTCCATTATTTCCAAGAGAAAACTGGCAGGAACAGAAATGGTCAACGTTAGTGTGGTACATTGTCACATTGATAATGCTGGTTTTCCAAAAGTCAAGAATGATAATAATGCTGATTTGAATAATAATACAAAAATAGAGGTAAAAATGGAGAAAGAACAAGAAAGTGAGATTGCCTTCAAAACGAACCACGAACTAGGCTTTTGTCTACAATTTGTCCGCCACTAGAATTGTCTGATTCATTCTAAGACATTATTTTAGTTGATACTTGATAGTAGTCACATTCTTATAACTTCAATCTCAAATCCTAACCTTTTAACAAAATTGATCTCAAATCTTAATACTAATACTTCCTGAACCTAAAAAGTAAAAAGTGTTGTCCAGAATAGATTCATCAATCCAACTATCCAAGCCATGCACCTCTATGGGATATGGCTCATATCCAACAACATGCACGCTGCTCTATTAAAATTTTAAAAAGTTTTCAAGTAAATCAAAACAAATTCGAATATTTATAATATATACTAAAGATAACTTTTTATAATTTTTAATCGTCTATAATTTTATCATAAAAATAGTTAAAAAATTTCGTAAATTTTCTAATTTTGAATATGCATAATTTAATTTCCATAGTCGTATAAGCGGTTCAAATACAACAATTAAGGTCATTATTCGTAATTTTAAATTTATGTATATTATTTGTATATATGAATTCATCTATAATCTTTGTTATTTATAGTCAAAAAACATTTTTTTCTTCTAAATATTAAATGTTCAAGTCTAAAACTATAAATTTATAACATCCAAAGCATTATTTTTATTTAGATCACATTTGTTTAAGTCATATTTAAAAAATAAAATAAAATTAAAATAAATTTTCCTATAAATTAATAAATATTAATACCATTATAATTTAATAAAATAACATATAACTAATATTATTAATTTATAGAGGTTTAACTGTATATTGTATATGGTATACAACACAAAAACTTTGCGAGTACTCAAGAGACAAACAAAAATTTAAAATAATTTATACAAATACAGAACTATTTCAAGGGATCGTCGTGGTGGATAAAAGCGTCGATGTGGCACAACATCTCTAGAGTTGTGGTGTGAGCAAGCTGAGACTTTCCGAGAATATGAAACGCGTGACCAACGCCTTTGTGCACCACGCGCTTGATCACTTCCTCATTACCATCGCACATCTCCATGTTTCTGTCCATCAGCAAATCCATCTCGGCCACGCACACCAGCGTCCTTATCACCGTCGAAGACTTGATCTTCACCGGTTTACAATAAGGATGCTCTCTGTCTGCACCACGTGGTAAAGACAACCTCCACCACGCGTCCGAACCCTCCAGTGTAAGCACTGAACTTTTGTTGTTACCCACGCGCTTCTCACTCTCCGTACGCTCCTCTCCGCCGTAGAAAGGTTGGATCAGGATCGTTCCTTCTATCTTCAGTGTGAGATCTTCGGTGGATGCTAATCTTGCTGCGACTTGGTCCGCGATATTGCCTCCAGCGCTATCTCCGGCCAAGAATATTCTGCCAAAGTCACATAGCTTGGTCCACAAGTTATCGTTTCTTGCTTTGTTGAGCCAAAGAATGGCATTGACTCCATCTTCGTAAGCTGCCGGAAGAGGATTCTCAGGGGCTAGACGGTAATCTACAGACATAACCATGCACCGCGAGCGAGAGGACAATCTAGCCAAGAACTCGTGGTAACACGACCAAGAAGTCGAGCCAACGCAGAACCCTCCACCGTGGAAGTAAACAATCAAAGGTAGTAGCTTAGAGACCGACGACTTGGTCGTGGTCATCATCGGGACGTAGAGACGTGCCCATACGTTGTTCAACTTGTCTATGACAACATCAGAGCAAGCCACGCCGAGCTCTAGGGGTAGTGAGGGACCAACACACGGCACGAGCTGGGATCGTTCCACGTGGCCATCTTTGTAAACTTTAATAAGGCCTTCTACTTCGTCTACGACTGGTCCATGAATGTTGGTGTTATTAGGGTTAATGGTGGTCACATGGGTCAATTTGGTGGCTCCCATATTTTCTGATTTTTATGTGTGATTTGTGTAGTTTCGTGATCCACAAAGAGAGCTTTTATTTTTTAGAGTTTGGGAGATCGATGTGTTTGGAGATTTCTTATATAGGAGGAGGATGTATAATGGAGGGTGATAGAGACGGGTAAGGTCGAAAATGTTTCCAACTTTACTTTTGCATCAAAATACTATCAATAATTGAAACTAAACTAAATTTGTGGGCTACTGATTTTAATGTCTAGGACCGGAGATGCCACGTGATTTTATTCAATATAACAATTTGACTATTCGAGGTGTTCAACTTCCTTCCATAAGATCTAGTCACAAGTATATAAAATTCAACCTATCTCTGTTTTTATTTTTCTTTATGTTGTATTAATTTCTCTAAACTTTAATTTAGAATATTGTCGATCGTCACTGCTGATATAATAGAAACGTGTGAATAAGACTTAAAAGGGTTGTTCTTATCCAATGAGCGTGGGAGGCAAAAATTCAACGTGACTATTTCGTTGTGAGCTAGTCGATGGACTGTAGTGATGATATTATTAATTCTCTTGAACTTTCCATTCACCAAATCGTATTATACAAATATATATTGGAAAGATGAAAGTGGCACGTGGACATCACAGATTGTGGTGGTGGGTGATAGTCTCCAACTTTTCAACGGCATAGAGTCAGACGAAGTATGGGATTGGTTGTGAAAGGTTTTGTCAAAATGCACTTACCAAAAAGATGCATTGCCCACTTTTGTTCTTCATTGTTCATGCACCAATCTTTTCTTTTTTCTTTTATTTATATAATCATTTACGTAAGGAAACATTTCAACATTTTTGCGTTTTAGTAATAGTTTAGTCGTTGAATTCACACTGTTAGCTTCATTATTATATATTAGTGGCCATTTCTAATTGGTGGTTGTTCTTTAACAAGGCTTTCATGTTAATGTTAGATTTTTGTGTAAATGGGAATATGATAATGTTGTAAACAGAAATGAAGAGCTTAGAAGCAAAATTTAGTAAAAAACTAGAGAAATTAGTTGTTAATTGTTAAAGTTATTATGAAAAGTTGATTGAAGTATGGGTAGTGATAGTTGATTGGTGATTTCTGTGTTAAGCCAATCAATGAATTGGCAAGTAGGAAGGAGCTTAGGTGGGATAAATAATGTATAATAAGAGGATGATAGTGTTGAAAAAAGTGGGACAAAACGAGTTTGATTTTGTGGCACATAGGTGTATAAAGTCCTAACACAATTATAGTATAGACTTTACTTCTGGTCTGCTTCATTTACATGGTAGCAATCAAAATACTATTACTTGATTTTTTGAAAGAATTTACCTTCTTTTTCTTTGGTCTGATCAGAGATTTCTCCATACACGTAAATTAAACATAAAATTCATTGTAATTGTAGTACGTAACTTATGTCTGAATTAGATAATTTACAAAAAAAAAAAAATTGCTTCCATATTTGAGTAATGTTCCCCAAAAATAGGGTAGATTAATAACAACATTGAGATTGTTAAGATTAATCTCTAAAGTTCAAATATCTGAATAAATAAACTTAAATATGCTTCTTAGAGAAAAGAAAATTCCCATATAGGCTACTTTTGTCCTTCTGAGAGATTCTGATGTAAAGAATAATGAGGAAGCTACACCACATTGATGACACACACGAAGAGAATATTAATTATTAATCCGGAATATCCAACACAACATATGAGTGAAAATTTTGAAGGAATATAAATAACATCACGGTAATAAAAAAAACTAAAATAGATATGCATAGTTTATCGAGATATATGTAACCTATTGTTAATATAGAGATAAACCAATCTAATTCAATCTAGACATGGGCGGTTGAAGTGCAGGAGCCGAAGGCGCAGATGCGGCAAGTCGTGCATTTCGTTCCATATTCCCATGCCACCCGATGGACAAGTCGAAATCGTGGTTGTGTTGAAGTTGCCTATACTCTTGACAAAGAGCGCATGGCTCGCAACAAAAGTGGACACAACAGTCACAACAAGGTCTCTCCTTGAGATTGTATTGTGCTCTTAGTTTGGTTCGGTAAAAGCAAGAGTAGAGACTGCTCCCTCCATATCCGGTCAACATGAATATGATCATGTACATCGCTCCGCTCACACCACACGATGTGGATCCTCTGTCTACAACTTCCGCGATGCGTCCAAAGGCAACACATGGGCACCAACAAGTCAAGCAGCATGAGTTTATGTCCATCCAACATTCACACAAATCAGTCGACCAATCCTTGGCCTTGACACGGCCTTGGCTTGGTTGGTCGGTGGAGGAAGGGTTCATGGTGTGATCTGTTTGAACTTTGAAAAAACGATATTTAATTTTCTTGTGTTCACATATTTATAATTATTGTTATGTTGTGGTACCTTTTCATGGGTTAACTGTCAGGAACTGCAAGGAAGCACGTAGGGACGCCTCGTTTAGTTTTGCTTTTGTTTTTTCACTGCCTTTTTGTTATTTTAAACCCATATTTGCAGAAGATACAAACCGAATTATTTACTTGCTAAAAATAGGACATGAATTTTTGTAGTATTTGAAGTGGCTTTCTTTTTTTCGGTTATTGGTTTTAGTTTTTCAGTTTTTGGTTTTTGATTATTGGTGTAAATTTTAGTTTTTTGCAAAACTTGAATGGTAATTTGGTATAAGTTGTAGTTTATTGCCAATGCTTTCTATGAGTTTTTGCATTTTTTTATTTTTTTTTGGTTCAATAATTGACAAAAATATTGAAAATCTAGATTCTCAATATTTAGGAACAAGTTTTAATTATGCAAAATCTTGAATCGGTAACAAATTGATTTTCTGAAAATCAGAAACCAAAAGCCATTTTAGAATGTATTCAAGGCAATCACATACCACCATAAGAAATCATAAACTTTGTAAATACTTTTATCAGCAAGTAAAAACTAAAGACATTCCTCCAAACATTGCAGTTGTTTCTGCTCTCACAATCAAAATGATTTAAACAAATATACATCAAGAAAATAAACAAAAGAATAAAGTAACTTATGTTTGTTTTAGTAAATTTAATTTGCTTACAAATCACATATTACACCATATTCATAATATTAACGTTGTATCACTTCTTTCACACATTCAAACCTTAGGAATCTGATCAACAGGATCTTTGAAACCAGCTTTTGTGCTAAGCTCCTCAAATGCATTGACAATGTTTTGGAGCCTTGCAACAAACTCGATGAGAAGGGAAGCAAATGTAGCTAGAGACAACGAACTCGCGCTTTCGTATACTTTACATTCAATCTCATTCACCACAGTACCACCAATGAAGGACATGCTTGGCCACATTTCTCGGTTCTTGAGCATCATACTCTCTGTTGACATCCAATTCTGAGATTGATCATGACTCTGATGATTGTTGTTGTTAGTATCCCAAATCTGGCTTAAGGATTTGATCACTTTGGTCTCATCGTCTTTGGCTTCTTGGTCGTTTTCTCGAGCTTCTTCGGCTTCAGCTTGCTCTTGAATAGCTGCCCAGCTCTCTGAGTTGACAAGAAGATATGATTTACTATCTATCTTCATTTGTAGTGCCTCGGCTGCTCGTTGAACGTCTTTCAAAATCTCTCCGAGGCTTAGGCTTAGCTTCTCCATTTTCTCCACTTTTTCTCCAAACAAACGTAAAATTTTTGCTCCTTCATTACCAACTCTCCGAAGCTCGTTACTGAAAACATGTCTTTTCTCTGGAGCTGCCTGCCATATCACACAGCCCATAACATTCAAACTAACAGTAATTGAACCATTATATATATCTAACATATATAGTAACATTAACATACAATACAAGTACAATCGAAGTATATATATCAACTTATTATAATGCTGGGAATTAAAGCTGATATAGAAAGAGCTAACTCACTACCCAAAGTCTCACTAATTTGGATAAAGATCGATTTCGTTTCGGGACGGGTAAGAATCTACCTTAGGACGAGTATTTTGAAAACATCAAGTACTTTTGGAAAATCTTAAGACAATTTTTTTTTTTTTTGGTGGGAAAAAAATCTTAAGACAATTTACAAAGGGATTAATTATTTGTAAAAAAGGGTGTGAGACAATAAATTCTGGATGAGACTGTCTTTTAGTAAGTGCGAGTGAAGCGTTCAAAGAGAACCACGACTAAAAAAAAATATTTAACAAATTTAAATATCAGGACCTAAAAACTACTTCCTTTCTTTCATAATATAAGGCGTTTTGAATAAAGTTTTTTGTTTTACAATATAAGTCGTTTTCGAGTTTCAATGCAAATTATATATTACTTTAATTTTTTATGATTATTTATGTTATGTAGTCTTTTTTATGATTGGTTAAACTTTTAAAAAGTAGATTTTCTTAATCGGTGTGCTTTTAACTAAAACTATTTATATTATAAAAGGGAGAGAGTTTTATTTTACCTCATTCTTATTTGAAACCGGGCCTACAATTAAAACTTTAGATTTTCTCCGCACATGTATGCTAAAACATTAATGACACCTACAATAATACGGATGGAGTGTAGTAGACATTTTTTCCTCGGTTATTCAATTCATTTGCCATCATCTTTTCTTCTTCACACATGTACGCTAGACATTTATGACCATACACACTCAAGTAGTTATGTTTATAACTTTCTAATAATCATTCACCTTAGCAAAAGGGAGACAATTGTTAAAATGGAGTTATGTTTATAACTTTCTAATAATCATTCACCTTAGCAAAAGGGAGACAATTGTTAAAATGGACCAGCGAATTTCTTCTATTAATAATAGTAAAAAAGTCATGGGTTATTGAAATATAGTTTAATAAGGAACCTGTATTTCTGAAAGAATGCATCCATGCATTGCCATGACTGTGAAAGCGCAATGCCTCACTGCACCACTAAGTTTGACGTAGTTTTTCCAAGGATGGTTAAACGTTTTGTAAGGTCCATGTGGAGGCTCCCATATAGCGAAATCAAGCTGCAAAAACAGAGGTCTTTTAATGCTCTATATATATATATATATATCACCATAATTCTTATTTTGAAGTTGTATCTCTACTACGCGCAAAACATACCAAAGAATCTTCTTGGCTTGTAGATTGAACAGCGGATCTGTATCCGCTGTATAATGGATCATCTGAAGCTTGGTACGTGAGTATCTTCGACGGTATTCTCTCGTATTCCACACATTGCAAGTAACCATTAACACATCCTAAAGGATAAAAACAAAAACCTGAAATAAGGGCCATCGAAATTATAAGCTAACCAAGTTATGACTGATTATGTTTTTTTATCTAACCTTCTAAGGAATTTGCCACAGTCTTGAAGTTTTTAGCCACCAGTTTATGGAGATCTTCCCCCGCCCATATCGGAAACAGAAATACATTCACAAGCAAACAAATGGTTGCACCAAGAACAATAAGCAAGATCCTGTAATAAGCCGTGCTTAAGAAGTCTCTTGAGTTGTTCCCGGAAACAAGAACTATACAATATGTCAACTTGAACACCCTGAATGCGTATTCGTATGGTTTCATGGCCGCGTAGAGTTTCAAATAACTAGCACCAAAACCTGATATAGACAAAGAAAAGTAATTTTAGTATCCTCATTGTGTGTATAATGGAATTGTTGATATAAGGAAATGTTGCAAACCTGCAAGGAATATGCAGATTACGATGATGACTTCTTCAAACTCTCCTGCTAAAACAGAGAGCTGCGCGACCCCGAGAGCAAGTCCCCCAGCTAACATTGTGCCTAAAGCTCTATTGAATCCTTTAACCAAAGTTGCTCCTGAAAAATTAAACATAAGAGTGACTCAACAGTATAAGAATTGATCTGAAAATGTGAATAAAACAGTAAAATGCAAGTCAATAAGTAAATCTGAACAGAGAAAATATAAAACGATTGAATCCAATAAAAAAAAAAAGAAACAAAATTAGTAAGTTCAAGAAACCTCGCGATTAAAGTAACAAACAAGCAAATAAAGTATAAGAGTTTGTCTGAAAATGTGATTTTCTTATATCAAGATCTGAAATGATACAGTAAAATGTAACTCAATAAGTAAATCCTAACCGATCAAAATGAAAAATTGAATCCAAAAACGGGAATAGTCTTAGCATCAAAATTTAAAAGAATCTTGACTAGATTTGCTTCACATGTGCAAGTGTCTTGAGTTCAAGATTCCAATAAAACATAAAACAAAACTCAAAGATCCAATCAAATGATCATAAACAAGGCTCAGAGTTACGAATCAATACCGACATAATACTCGAAAATGAGAACGACGGTGAGAATCGCCCAAACTGCGAATTTACTGGCATCTTGAAGCGGTTCTTTGAGAAAGATGACGAAAGAACAGAGTGCCAAAGCAATCCCCATCTTGAAGGAGAAGTAAAGCTTCCGACGATCAGAATGTCCCATCGCATACAACTTCGCCGGAGCCTCGTAGAGAGCCCTCCAAGAGCAACACCGAAACTTCGAGTCACGGCTATCGGCGACATCACTTGACTGCCAAAGAAGCTTCTCTCTGTTTTGCTCCGGTAGTGATCCCATTTTGCCTCCCATTAGAAATTATTCTGACAATTCTACAGAACCTGAGAGATTCTTGTTGTCCTTAAGAATTGAAAGATGTTTATTTATTTATTTATCAAGATTTGTTTTGTACTTGGCAATTAATGCATGCCTTCGATTCATCATCTTTAAAAATATAATCAAGTTTTTTGAATTTACCATTTTGGCGCATCTACATTATTAAAAATTTTCAATAATTTTCCGATTTATAACTTTTATGTTTTTGGTTGAAATCTAATCATTAACATATTTAACCACCAAAAGTGTCCAAAGTTTTTGTAACAGAAAGAATTTAAAACGTGAGAATTTAAACTTTGTGGACCAGTAATGTATAAATGGACCGGTAACGGTAATATGATTTTTTGTGATTATTTGTTGTATTCAGTAATTTTTTTTTATATACATTTTTGTTTTATTTTTATGTAAAATACAACAAAAATATTACAAATAAATTTTTAATTTCCACGCATTTAGCTCAAATATCGAGTCAACTACATAATACTATATGTTAAAAGTTACCCGATTTAGTAAGTTTTTTTATTGTTGAATCTAAATATCAACGTAGTTTAGTGACCAGTAAAACGGTCGAAGAAATAACAACAGATGCATAAACAACGTGAGAATTAAAATTTCGTGGACCTGTGAATTATGTAAATGGACCAATAATGTGACGGTGAATAAATTACACACATATCTTAAAGTCGCTTCAAGATCAAGACTCTAATAATTGAATTACAGACCAACAGTTTTGGAAAAGCTGCAAGTATCAAAGAGACGACAAGTTTCATGGTGGTGACTTGTGTGAATGTGACATTTTAAAATCATTGAAACTTTACTACCGCGTCGCATATTACTACTTCCTCACTATGCTCAAAAGCCAAGCCCTACCCTACCCAGTAGTACCCAGTGTACCCACCCTCACATGAGATGAGATTTTTCCAACGTTTTTCTCAAAAAATGATTTATGTATTTTGGCTAAGTTTGATTGTTTTCGATCCACAAATTTTAATTATGATTTGCTGAAACTAGAAAATATCATGTGCACAATATATGATTAAATTACAGTGTAATTAGTATAATCATTCCCTTTATTTTTTCTACTTATGGAAGAATTATGTTTCATCCTCGTGCACTAAATAAATGAGTCCCGCTAGTGTTACTTCAAATCCAAAGAAGGTCACTTTTTGTTTTTGGCTTGAGATCTCAGAGATACAAAATCCATATACTTTATGGTCTCAGCAAACCTGTGAAAAAAGGGAAAGAAGATAAAAAAAAAGTTATTTTCACGTTTAGCATAGAAAAAAGATTTGGTCTCAGATTTTGGCAAAGTGAGATTTGATTCTCACATTTTGACAATTAAGCCAAAATCTGACGAAAATACCCCTAATGACTTAAACCAAATGACACAGTTGGTTTCGGTTTAGTTACTTTTTCTTTGTTTTACGGTTTGGTTTTGAATTAAAAAAAAAAAAAAATTCTTGCCCAGAAACCTAAAAGAAAACGAAGAAGAAGAACGAGAGAGATCACAAATCGTCATCAACTTCAAAAACCCATTTTCTGGGGTTTTGTTTCTTGTTGTCGGATCTTCAGATGCTGGAGAAAGGAATGATTTTGCCTCCGGTACCGAGCCAATTGGTGCTTTTACGGCCAAACCCTTTGCTTCAATGGCGGCTTGGTGCTCTTACAGCACTCGTCTTCTTCCTCATGTTAGTCGTTTGGAGTATTGACGGTTGTTCGATTCAAAGCTTCGTTGAGCCATGGAGATTCAATGCATACTCTGTTCGAATCAGTCCTTCTCCGTCGCCTTTAATGTCACCGAAACCCAAACTTCAAAAACCCACCAAATCGTCATCGTTTTTTAGTCGCCGGCGTCGTCATCGTCGAAGCTTCTTCTTTAGCCGGAGAATCTCTCTGGCCAACTTTCGTCATTATCTCTTTCGCTGTCAGATTCAATTTTAACACTCTGTCTTTCTTTACTAAAAAGGAACAAAATTTTTGATATATACAGAGAGAGAGCTCTCTAAATCCGATTCATGTTTTGATTTGGGTATATTCTCTCTTACTTAGGGCTTGAATGGCAGTCCGGTACGGCTCCGGTGCGGCGACCCTAATCACGGGGTCACCGGCGAATGGTAGTCCGGTTTCAGTCACCACACAATCACCTTCGTCGTCACCATCATCTTCTCCGTCGACGTCATCTCTGTTGGCGTCTTCTCCTTTATTGTTGTTGATTTCAAAGGAATTATGCTAAATTATGTAGTTTCGGTTAGCAATCAATGTTTCGGTTAATGTAGTAATTGGAATTCAGAAATTGCTTTTCTTTATTTATAAACACTATCGAAGAACACTATCGAAGAAGTTATGATGGATACACTAGCTTTTGATCTAAAAGATAAAGCTTAATATATATTGCACATCATGTGTTCGACCAAATGTCTGAATGAACTTTCTACTCTTCATGATTTTCTTAAGCCATATATCAACCTCTTCATATTTAGATATTATTTGGTTGTATTCGAAGATGATATTTGCTTTTGAGGACATATTTGATTCTCCCTTTTCTATGCAACCATGAATTAGCTTATGATCATTATCATCGATATATCTTCTGTTTTCATTTTCTAAGGTTCTAAAAAATCATTGATATATTAGTTTATGATTTTTCAATTAAAAAAAAGCTAAACTAATACTGCATGTTTCATTTTAATACGTTGTCGATTTTTAATAAAATTTTGGTTATTATATTTAAACAAAATGTTTTTACAATTTCTATATTATTGGCGAATATAATATTTAAAATTATATTAATAAATTTATTTAATATGTAAACTAAAATATGTAATTATATTAATAAAATTTCCGTAACGGACGTAATGGTTAGTGCGAAAGGGTTCAACGGTTGAGATACAAATGTGTGTATATACACAGATATATCAGAAATGTACATAGTTATACGATGGCAAACATTAAACGTACGTACACCGACAAAAAATGTGGTACACATGGTCCAGACATAAACGTACACTGTCTACACGGTGATAAAAAACAAGGACATAAAACTAAATAGGATTTTTGAAAGACTTCTTGTTATCACCTGCTTGTCTACATCTTGTACACTGATTCGGAAAAAGTCTTTTTTGTCTTTTTTTCTGTAGTGACAACAACAATAAGTTAACAATCAACGAATCTTATACTCTAAACATAGATATAGGCAAATAAGTGCACATGTTAGAATGTTAAAACTTACCCGGTTTTCACCCCTAGATGGTATCACCATCCTTTTGGTGGTTGGTCTCCCTGGTGGTCGTCTACTGTATGGAGGAATTAGTATCATATCCGATATATCTTGTGGGATGACGACATACTTCCGATCCGCGATAGGTAGAATCGGTTCTTGGAAAGAATCAAAAAACGTTTGAATGCTATAGCACCAACCGATAACAACCTTCAAATTAATTCCAAATTCTATTGCAGCTGCTAGACCGTGTTCACATGGGATTTTTAACCGCGTGTACATAAGACACGTACACGTACACTCATCGAGAACGACATAAAAATGCTCACCTAACTTGCTTGTAAATTGATAACTCTACGGTCCAGACATCTTCACCGCGTATTTCCCGGAGGTAGGCAAATCTTGGAGAAAACGCTCGTCAACCTCAGGCGTCACTAAGGATTTACACCTAGCCATTTTTTTCCTCCTGGCTGCGAACCATCGCATAAGGACCTCTCGAATGAACTCTATCATGTATACAATCGGATATGTTTTTGCTTTTGTTAAGACATTATTCATAGCCTCCGAGTTGTTGCTAGACATGATATTGTAGCGTTTCTCTTTGTAGTGAGATCTTGTCCAATGTTCAAATCCAATTTCCTCTAAGTAGTTTGCGCACCCAGGTCTCTTAGCCCTTAATTGTTCAAAGTATTTTTCAAAATCCTTCACCCTATAATCTTTAGCAGCACTGAAGAATAATTCAGAAACACCATACTTACCATAATTGGTATCCGTGTACGTAACAAAATCACCTTCGCAGCATGTATCTTGTACACAGTCTGTAGTGTACGTACATTGGTACAAACCATGTCGACACGTACATGTTGGAGTCACGGTTGGTGTACTGTCACCCAAATGAGAAATGTTATCTCCGCCAGGTACACGCTGACTTGTGTACGTACACTCTGCCAATAGACGACTGAATTTTCCTAGATGTTGAACAGTCTGTTGAGTGAGAATGACGTCCTCCTCAACATTCCCTATTCCATATTCTTCTACAATTACATCGTTCCACTTGTTGTAATCTTAATCTTCACCACTACCTTCACTATCGTCTATAGTAGGATCGAGGGAACTTCCCCCTATAGATCCATCGTCACCCTGATGACACATAAACATACATTACATTAATCTGCGAGTGTTATGAAATCTTATATGTATATTGGATTTTTGTAAGTTTTCTTGTTATGTTATTCGCTTTTACATCTTATACAACTATAGGAAAAAAAGAGTTACAATTTAAAGTAAAAAAATAAAAAATAATTAAAAAAGTGAAAAGAAAAAAAATGTGAAAAAAAGAGGTGGAAATATATTTATTTTTAAATTAATTTTTATTTAATTTTTTAATACATTAAATTCTCTCTGTGAAAGTTTTATTTTTAATAAAAAAATTTCTTGCTTTTTTACTGTTCATACATGATTTGAATGTTTTGTTTTTATAGTCAAAAAATATTTGAAACGTAAATATACAAATTATTTAGATATTTACGTACATATATACACACACATTAGTACCGTGTACGTACACATTATTACCGTGTACGTATATATTATTACCGTTACGCACATATGTGTATATGATATTGCTAATCGTAAATAGTCTTCGATAATAATAAATAAAATATTATTTAAAATAGAAATAAAAATATGAAAATGGGTCTGATAGAAAAAAAAAGAATTTTAACTAAAAATATAAAAACAATAAATATTTATAAAATGGAAAAGCGAATCATCTACTGACAAGTGTTTAAGATTTTCAAACCACACACGGCTCTGTGTCACGTTAAAACATACTATTCCTCAATGTTTTTCTTTAGTTGTGAGGTTTGTTTCTACTGCTTCTCGTATTTGACATATGATTATGTAAATTGCGTAACAGAGCTGGAGTTTTGTGTGTCTCATTAGAGTCAATTTGTGTGTTGATCATAGTTGATTTCAATTATTTACTGAAAACAAATTATTAATATTTTTTTAATTGAGTTCGTAGAAAACTTGTATGAAATTGGTAAGATATTTTTGGTAGAAATATGTCCTTATTTGAGTTTTTTCTATTTACGTGTATGTAGTTTACGGTATACACAGTATTGATTATAAAATGGATATGTACTTCAGTTATATCATGTACTATTGTGGAGACGGTGTACGTAATATTTATAGAGTTTGTATTTTAGTTTTTCGACTTCAAAATACGCTAATATAAACTAGATTTACAAAATCAATAAATAAATTAAATGTAAAAAAACAAAAGATTATAAGAAAATTGTAAACAGTCAATCGCATAACTGAACCGCATAACTGAACCGTGTACAGTGTACGTAACTGAACCGTACAGTGAACAGTACATCGCATAACTGAACTGCATAACTAAACCGGAACAGTGTACATAACTGAACCGCATAACTGAACCGTACAGTGAACAGTACATCGGTACGCTGGCAGGGGTAAAATGGTCAGATTTTGGCTAAAATGTCAAAACATGAAAGCTCATTCTCACTTTGCCAAAACTTGAAAATAAAACTTGGTCAACTGCCATAACTTGAAATTTACCCATAAAAAAATGAAGATGAATCATGTGATAAAAAAAACCACTTTCCCATTTTTATTTTCTTTAGTTATAAAATATACTTTGAAAATATCTAGCAATAGTTTGATAACTATATTTTGTGAAAAAAAAGTATGTAGAATTAATTAACCGATAACATCATACAGTAGAACCTCTATAAATTAATACTCGATAAATTAATAAACACGATAAATTAATAAATTTGGCCGGTCCCGAGTCAGGCTAATGTAAAAATTAACCAAATTCGATAAGATAATAAGATAATAATTTTTTTGAAATCCCTATGTAAAAATATAGTCCTAATAATATCATAAATTAATAATCATGTAATTTTCACATATATATATATATATATACATATATATATATAATAGTTTTAGTGTTTTTCATAAAAATAGCCAAAATTTTTTGTAAATTTCAAATTTTGAATATGCATAATTTTTTTTTAATAGTCGTATATGTTTTTAAAATACAACAATGGATGTCTTTGTGAATTTTAATTTATGTATATCGTTTGTATATGTGAATTATATAATCGTTGTTATTCATTGTCAAAATAAATTATTTTTTTCGAATTATTAAGTGTTTAAGGCTAAAACTATAAAATTTATAACATCCAAAACATTAATCTTAGTTAGATCACATTGCTTTAGCTCGTATTTTTTTAAAAAAGTTTTTACAATTGAAACAAAACTTTCTATAAATTAATAAATATTAATTTACGCTATAAATTAATAATTATTAATTTATAGATAAATTAATATCACTATAAATTAATAAAATATCATGGTCCCAACGTTATTAATTTATAGAGGTTTTACTGTATTTCAAAACAATGACAAGATGAGTTACTTCCATTTTATTTTGAATAACACAAATGTGTCGGTTCTTTTATTTTTTCGTCAACACTAATGTGTGTGTGGTTCAAATTAATAAATATCATTTTATTAATACGCTTATGTCGAGATTTTTTTTTTTTGGTGCAAAATATTGAGATTTTATATGATCATTAAATTATTATGAAATTTTATTTTAGTTGATCTTGAATTGGGCTTCTATTTCTTCCCAATATTTATTTCTTCTGACTTCTGTTGTGGGCTTGTAACTAATTTCTATCAACTCGGCCCAATAAAAAATAGGCCGAGTCAACAAAGCCCATATATCAATGGTCAAACTACTTTGAAACTCCACCCAAAAATGTGACCATATCTTTCTTATCCATATTTTCTCACAAAATCTCCATTGCTCTCTGAGATAACACAAAATGATGTCATCAATGGCACTTTCTTCTGCTTCCCTTTGCTCTTCTTTCATCTCTCAACATCCCAAACTCTCTATCACTGCTTCTACTCCATTGTTCCTTAACCAAACAACCAAACCCATCTCTGTAAAACGTAAAATCATAACTCTAGCAGCTCCAGAGACACTCACGGCTGAAACAGTCACCGGAATTGATACTTCCGACAACACTCCACAACAAACAACAAAGGTAAAACAACAACAACATAATCTTCTTCTTCTTGTTGTTGTCTCTTTTGTTTCAAAACCCACAAATCTTTGTTTTTAGGTGGTGAAGCCAGATGAGAAATCAAGAGTGGTACTCAAGTTTGTGTGGATGGAGAAGAACATTGGATTAGGATTGGACCAACATGTACCTGGACATGGCACAATCCCACTTAGTCCTTACTTCTTCTGGCCAAGGAAAGATGCTTGGGAAGAGCTTAAGTCTACTCTTGAAGCTAAGCCATGGATCTCTCAGAAGAAGATGATCATTCTTCTTAACCAAGCCACTGATATCATAAATCTCTGGCAACAAAGTGGCGGCAATTTAACTTCACAATAATCTCTTTTTTTAATTTCTGCATTTAAAGAATTCATTCACTTTGTCTATGATAATTATTATTGCTATTGAGAGTTTTTGTTTATCTAAACAATATATCCAATCACATTCGACATAAAAGATTTCATTTTATTGCAAAGAGAAATGATAATAAAAAGCAAAAAATCAAGCAATTTTGAGTTGTTGTTTCCTTGAAGGACATATCAAACGCTTGATGGTTGAGATTTTGCAGAGAAGAGCTTCACCATATGATTTGGAGACTCGCCGGTCACCGGAATATGTGCACGTCAGTGTCACTTTCTTCTCCAACACACTCACCAATATTGAATATGTTTCTGGTCCAAAAGAACAGAGAAAACAAGCATGAGAAGAAGAACAAAAAGTGTCTCCTCATCTCGGAAGTAAGTAAACTGTTTTCTCACCGATCATTCTTGACATTATGTCGGCGACTTTCTCTTGGCAGTCACTACATCTGATGTCTGCTGATAAAACAATCTCCTGAATCTGATAACAGACCAAATCTATAAAAGAATCCACAGAGTAGAATCATTCGAAGACAAAAGTGTTGAAAGAGTAAGTGACTAACAAGTGGCATGGATAACGATGCGACTGAAGCGAGACTGGTTTCACTTGTTCTTGAAAGCTTGCTTCTTAGTGATGCTCCAAGTTCTTCCTCGACGATTTCAGAGAGAGTAGCCATGACACTCTCGTTGCACAGTAGATAAAACAGGAATGAAGAATCCTTATAGATAAATAAAACAAAAATCAAGAATCCTAAAGAAACCACCGAACCGAGAGTGGGAAATGAAGAGTGTCGTTGTCCGAAAAGGATGAGTTAGCAAAACTAGTGACAGAGGAAGCCCATCTTTGCTTTTGCTTTAATCTATGGAGAAAACTAAGTTTTAAAGACTCAAGAGACATGGTAACACACAAAGACAGATATAATATATGCTTTGGATCCATGACTTAGTGTCCATTTATCTGAGTAAGAAAGTCAAGACCTTTTGGTTCCTCTTTATTTCTAGATTGCATTGTTTGAAAAAGATGCTTCACTCACCAAAATGCAACCCCACCAAAATCATTCAAGTTGGAAGATTACTTCTGAGTTCTGACTTAGTCTTAACAAATTTATAATAGCTTTACCTTTTTCATCGTACCCTACCTTTTGGTAAGCCAATTATCTATAGCACAAAAAGAGATGATATTAGGTACTACAAGGTTTAAAATGGGTTTAAGATAACACACTCAACTTTTCGTCAGTGTGAGTAGTTTCTTACAAGCACTCTTACAGTCTTGTACAGACCAGACTGGCTCTAAATGAATTATCTAAAAGGAATTATGGTCCCAGATTCCAGAAAAACATCAATTGTTACCAGCTAGTTACACAACTTACAACCAAAGAGCATCAATTTCATTTAATGGTCCCCTTTGGATGCTGCACAAAACAAAACCCTATGGGGACATGGACATGGCCATTGACGTGGCCATGGACAAGGACATAGTTAATTTACGTACCATTAAGATAATCAAGTGTCCTCAACTTCGAGTATCAAATAATGCAGCAGCTAATCATAATATTCAACACAGGTAAGAAAGGTTTGTATCATATGGACACTGAAGACGAAATCAAGGTAAGGAGATGGTTTTATTTAATGATACATAGGTTACATGAAAAGAAAGATCTGACCAGAACAAAAAGAAAACAAATCATCTCTATGCTAAAGAGAGAAAAAAAGATAACTTAATTCTAAGCAGAATAAAACACTGATTAACGCCTAAAACACTAGCAAGGTAATGCTGTTATTACCTACTTCTAATGCATCCAAAATTTTGCTGATTGTATTAAAGCTCTATGCCCTACTGTTACAACATAAGTACACAAACGAATTTGGATGCCATTACGAGCTAATCCTATAATCCATCCCACAAAATCTTGCGAGTCACCAGTAATCTATAACCAAAAATCGCATTGAGCAGATGCCCATCAGGTAATATGTACCTCACAAGAAGAAACGCAACTTTATCCCCAAGCTGATGATCATCTCGACATTAATAGACCTGTCAAAGGCTGCCCAACCGAAGAACCAAAATCATCTCCCATGAACTTACAGTTCTCACAATCCAAAGATCTTTCACTAGAGAAACCATTATTCAAGCTAGGATCGTGTGGACAGCAACTGACAACTCGATTGCGTTTCCTCGATGATTTTTTCCACTTTAAGTCAGAAGTGACTAGGACATCTTTTAGAAGATCTGGAATTGGTCGCTTAGGTAATGACTTTTTGGTTGTAGCTACTGGAAGAGAGATGGTACGTTTAGCCTCACCCTTGGCTGACATCACACCATTACAAACCCCAACATCAGATGGCTTCTCATCTTGTTTCACCTCCGCCTCTTCTTTCTTCATCAAAGACAGGACAGAACTCACAATATCAGATCTTGAACTTATGTTTAGCCACTCATCATCCAGCCATTCCCGAGATTGTCTAAGGTCGCTACGATGGAAGGCAGCCATTTTCTTTTCACCTGAGAGAAAGCAACCCAAACAGCAATAATTAGTCCCACAAAATAATATATAGATCTTCAACAAATCTGCAATAAAAATTTGCGTTCAGCGGTGTCTTAACTCACCTGGCAAGTAAACTTCAAATTTCTCTTCAGAAACTTTCTGCACCACGATCCCTTCCCACCATCCATCACACCACCACACATCCACAGGCATACCAACCCCGATGACACATACATCATTTTCTTTGCCGGGCTTCAGCATTGGTCGTACTACTTTCCGTCCTTTGATTCTAAGACCAACCGGATCATCACCACCAGCAACCCGAGATGTCAAAATCCACTCCTGCGACAAAAACATGCAACATGTTATCAAACTGGGCAGTAGAACCAAAATCAAAACCTAAACGTGGGTTTTAAAATGTGTACCTCTTGCTTTTTAGATTCATCATCTGCATCCTGAATATCTTGGTACTGGACCTTAACCTTATCTTTGTGTTTCTTTAATATCAGTGCCTTAAACCAACAACCTCTGATGCCACTATCTTCAGAAAGAACTTCAACAAGTGAACCCTTTTTAATGTGATGGGAAGAACCATCTTCTGCACCCTTGCACATAGAAGCATCTGAAGCACCCAAAACAGAATCTGGACTAGATTTGCAGTCACCTTTGATGTCACCGGCGGATGGTAGATTCAAAGTACCAACAGGACTAGGACGACGCCTTTTCCTTGATCTAATCCCAACACAACCAACCAATGGAGCTCCTAATCCTGGGTCAGTACCAGGTGCTTGAGCACCTTCACCTGATTTTAAAACGGATACATTCAAGTATCTAAGCATTTCTTGTTTCCAGTAACCTTCTAATTGTGTAATGTCATAGGGCTTTATGCCATCATCTCCATATAATTTCTGGCAGAAGAAAGCTACTGGCTGAACATGCATTGGCACCTTAAGAAATTTCTCATAATGCTGAGGACTGAGGACAGTAGCCAAATAATCTATGCACTCAATGCTGATATCTTGACGATAAAGAGAAAAGAAAATCTCTCTGTCATTAATATCATCAGGTAAAACAGAACCAACCTCCTCAGTTTTGTGAAACCATCGTACCACAACCATCTTCTTCCCTTTAGAATCCTCATAAAGGTCTTCCAAATATGCAACAAGTCTCTTATTTTGCTCCGCTAAAACATACACAAAATCATTCACCTGCAATTAATTTGTGACAAAAGATATAGTTGAGGTTTAGCACAAGAAAAAACTAACAGCAAATCACACCAGCTAACTTCAATAAAAAACATTAAAATAAACTCACAGATATTCTAACACCATTCCGGAGAAAAGATTGATAATGCTTACGCCGTTTCCTACAAGTCCAAGATGAACCCATCCAGGAGAACGTTTTGGTCTGCTGAATAGGCTCCTTAAATTTCCCATTCTGATAAGAATCAAAACAAAAACCGATTACTATTTTTCATTATCCAACCAGAAACCCCTCTATACTCCAAAACAAACAAAAAAAACCTTAAGATTTAGTTAAAGTAGTACCATAAAAGTGCTCATATTTAACCCTCCAGCATCCTTTTCAGTCATAACAGTAGCTGGTACATCTGCTACATGAGGCATCACACCTAAAAATTAAAGAAAACCAATAACAAAACATCAGCAATACACATCAATAAACGTTGATCTTTAATTAGAAAATCAAACAAAACTTAAAAGAAAATATCAATTCTTGCAGACATGCTCAGTACCAAAAGGTGGAAACCGGATCTGTCTGCAGCAAAATTAAGTCATTAATAGGTTTAGCTGCAAAAGGCGCAACGACACCAGTTAACATCTAAATACCCATAAAATCAAATTATCGAAAGAAAACAGATTCTTCAGAAATTTAAGAAATTGATACGAACCCAGATCTAAAATTCGAAATCTAGAAAAAGGGCAGAGAAGAATTCGAAACAGAGATTGAGAAAATTTACCAGAAACAATGGAATCGAGCCAATTGGCAACATCATCTTTGGAATTAAGCTTTTTCAAAACAGAGCGATTCTTCTTCAAAGCGTATCTAAAGGACATGCGTTTAGAAGAATTCTTCAACCTCCCAATAACAGCTAGATCTGCAATTCCATCTTTCCTCTCGAGGTAATAATGAACCTCCATCTTTCCTTTCGTGTTTTTCACATGTAGCTCATTCCAACCGCAATACGACGGCGTTTCCGACGACCACGCCATTATCGAATCTCTCAAATCGGAGGAAGAAAAATAAACCTAATTTGAGCTCTTGGGTCTCTCTCAATGCGCGTGAAGTGATAGAAAATCGAAGAAAGAGAAAGATTTTTGGAGGCGGAATTTGAATAATATAAAAAAAAAAACAGAGGAGGGAGGAGATTAGGGTTTCGAATTTGGGGATAAGATTAAGGGTTGTGATTGGATCCACGTATATGATTCGGAAGGAGCGTGAGTTTGTAAATTACGGTATTATCCTCTAGTATCAGAGAATATTACGATAGTACCCTTGAGGAGGGTTTATTGCTTCCGTCACGATTTTGGAATTTTTAAAACGGAAAAAAGGACAAAAGACAAGTTGTGTAATAAAAATTGAAACGCGTGATTTACGGAGTTTTTATTTATTTTAGAAGACTTGTTCTATTTATTTGCCAGCTGTGCTATCACGTCTTTTTGGATTTTTTTTCTTTTTTTAGGTGTTTCAGTATCTGTTTGTATTTATTTTAATTTTTGGATCTTGGTAGAAAACTAAATATAGAAATAATATATATTCTTATCTTTTGACTTTGATCGAATTTTTGGGAAGTTTGTTCAGATTTGTGGTAAATGGAACGATGTGTTTATGAAAAGATTGCGCACAAAAAAGGAAACAAATAATTTCGGACATATCTAATGTATAGTACTTTTTAGTTTGGATAATGTATATGGATCCAATCTATATCTATATAAACTATATAAATAGAATTAGTCTCTCTTTTATTCTTAGATCATTAGAGCTATTTGTCTTAACTCTTAACTGATTATAAAATCAATGCATTTTATGTTGACAAAACATGGCGGATATGTTTTCAACTTTTCAATATTCAACATGGTAATTGTTATTGGGCCTTATGGCCGCAATCTCAAATTAAAACTGTATTATTTTTTTCGCAACACTTTGGTTTCACAAATCAACAATATCATTGTTCCACCATCAATGTATTCGTCTTTTGGCCCATTTGTACTACTTTCGGCCCAATATGGCTTATTGCATCTTCAATCATTTTTCAGATTTCTAAATACTACTCCCTCCGTATTTGAATAAATGTCGTTCTACCCTTTTTTCTGTGTTTTTAATTAGTTGTCATTTTAACAACTTTTGCATAAAATTTCCTAAATTACCCCCAATTAATTGATCATAATTAATCAGTCTAAATTACCAAAACTACATATACCAAAAATATAATTGTAAATAATCGTTTCTCATAAGGTTAGTTTTGTAATTCTGTGTCCTTTCTTAATTCACCCAAAAACAGTTGAAACGACATTTTTTCAAATACAGAGGGAGTAGCAAAGACAACCAAATATAATATATGAAATCAGTTTAAAAACACGGTTTTAGTTTCATTTTTTAACAGAAATATATTCATGCATGATCTATTCTTTTGATTTTCGATTCAGACTTGTTTGAATATTATATACTAGTGTTAATCCAAAGTAAAATTGGTTTGAAATTTACGTATGCTGCTTTAATTTAATTCGGATCGGACTAAATGAGTTTATCAGTATTGAAAACCCACAACAATGGACAAAGTCTTTTTTTTTTTGTTTTTGGGCAAATAAATGGACAGAGTCATTCTTTCTAATTTTATTGAACTAGATTATGTACCCGCGCGTTGCGCGGGATTTTTATTTATTTTTTTTATCAATGCGAATCTTTGAGTATAAATCTAATCATTTGAATTTAATATTTTTTACTTTATTCATGTGCATTATCTTTCCAATATAGTAAAAAAAAATTCACACGTTTCATTACAATTTCTTTCGTTATCTTCTAGGATTCAGTCGTTGTTTCCCGATATTTACTCTCTTTTCGCCTTATATTGACTCATATATAATATACTCGATTGTGAATTAGTTCTCAAGATATATCGTATATCATTTCTCCTTCCTATCTTTGAATACTCAATTCTTTTTTTATAAGTTGCATAATCTTTTTATTAAAGTGAACATCAGAAAATTTTATGAAATGTTTTGTCATAAGGTTTTTTTGACCATGTTTTGGTGGATGTAAAATTCTTTTGTATACAACAAATCTCATATATAAACTCATTGCTATTCACAAACATCGGATTTTAACGTCAAGTTTTTCATTTATCTTGACTGTTTGAAAGATATAAAATTCTCTTTTCACATACATAATTTGACGTATATTATGATTCTAGATAGTATTCTTAGTGTTGATTTTTTCTAAAATATGTAAATTACGAAATCATAAGTTATTCTATTTTTTTTTTTTTTTGTCGTCTTAATATTGAAACAAATAAAGAGTTTGCTAGAAACAGAGTAAAACAAAAACAGGGAAACTGAAATAACAAAACAAAGTAAGAGTAAATCAACCACAATCATTGTCTACCTCGCCGTTCGTCCTCAATCCGGTTATTCTAATTTTAAAATACGTTTATTTTAAAAAAAAAAAACAAAATCATTCTTCTTTCTAATTAAAAAACTCTTCAATATACCATTAATATTCTAATTTCCAAATAGCATTCTCAAATATTATTATTACACAATTTTATTATTCGATTAGATTATTATTACACAGTTTTATTAAACTCTTCAATATAGCATTACTAAAACATAGGTCTTTGTTTTATTTCAAATCACCTTAATTTTTTTTCATTCTATGTTAATTTCCTAAACACTAATTACTATTTAGTTTTTCTTCTTAGGTATTTATTTTTTATATAAAACCCTCCATGTTTTAATTAAGAAAACATTAATAATATAGACAAATTTCTTAATTTAACTATTTATATTATATTATAATTATAAACAATAATATGTACTCAATCCTTCTTATTTTTTAACCGGTATAAGGAATTGATACTTTAACCTTAACAAATATATTCTCAAATTTTAATTTTTTTTTTTTAGAAATAAATTACTTTTTTATTAAGTAAGAACCTTTAAATTTGGTATTTATTAACTCTTATTTTCTTTATTGTACTAAATAATTGTAATTCTTAAAAGTGATTGTTGTTCCATTAAAATATATGATAAGTTTCCGTTTTCTTATCACTAACTATTTTAAAATAATTACGCATTATATGTTAAGATATAATTATCTTATTTTATATTTCTCCAATCTCAATTCAAAAGTTTCATGTTTAAATATGAGTAAGATATAATTATTCATTATCTGTTTTATATTTGTTTTTCCGTTTTTTCATATTTAATTTTTTTGTAATTTTTTTTTAAATGGAGGGTAATAATATAAAGTATGTGAATTAATTTATTTTAATATGTTTTTCTTAATAAATAAGATATATGGATCCTACCAAAATAATAAAATGTGATGACATGGATGTTGATGTGGACACCTTAGATGGAGAGAGAACTCTCTCATTATATATATAGATTTGGTATTTATTAATTCTTACTTTCTTTATTCTACTAAATAATTGTAATTCTTAAAAGTGATTGTTGTTCCATTAAAATATATGATAAGTTTCCGTTTTCTTATCTCTAACTATTTAAAAATAATTATGCATTATATGTTAAAATATAATTATCTAATTTTATATTTCTCTAATCTCAATTCAAAAGTTTCATGTTTAAATATGAGTAAGATATAAAGTTTCTCCAACATAGTAAAACGTTTCTCACATTTTTCACTACAATATTTTTCGTTATCTTCTATGATTCACTCGTCGTCTCCCAACATCTACTCTCTTTTCTCCTTAGATCATTTATATTTTCTCCTTCATATCATTCGATACTCAATTTTTTTTTTTATAAGTTTCATGATCTTTTTATTAAAGTGAACAGAAATCTGAGGAGATGTTTATCATAAAGCTTTTTTTTACTATGTTTTGGTGCATCTAAAATTGCTTTATAGAAAATAGATTTCATAGACTCATTCCTATTCGTAAACATAGGATTTCAACGTGAAATTTTGCACTTTATCTGGACCATTTGAAAAATACAAAAATCTCTTTCTACATATATAATTTAACGTATATTATGATTCTAGAAAGTATTCTTAATGTGACACTTACGAACTCATAAAAATTATTCTAATTTTAAAATACATTTATTTTTTTTAAAAAAATCCTTTTTATTTCTAGGGGTTTTTGCAAAAATGCCACTTTTTCAATGCCACTTTTCAAAAATACCCCTTTTAAAAGACCTTATAAAAAATGCTCTTAAAAATATAAGATTTACCCAAATATGTATGTAATATTATTAAAACATACACAAACTACATTTCTATGTATCTAAAATCTTATAAATACTTTAAAATACCTTATAAATGCATTTTAAATACTTTTAAAAACCTTTAAAATATCTTGTAAAACCTTTGAAAAACCTTAAAAATTCTTTAAAATAACTTGTAAAACCTTTCAAAACACCTTATAAAATTTTATAAATACTTGGATCGAGTCTTCAAGTAGTAGTTACAATCCATAAGTACCTTATAAACCTAATAAAACTTTATAAAAATTTCAGATTTAAAAAGGGGCATTTTTTAAAATGGATATCTAAAAGGGGCATTTTTTAAAAGAGGCACACCAAAAGGGGTATTTTTAACAATTTCCCTTATTTCTAATGAAAAACTCTTCTATCTACCATTACTATTCTAATTTCCAAATAGCATTCTCAAATATTATTATTACACAGTTTTAATACTCGATAAGATTATTTTATTTTTATTTTTGAAGTTCAGGATAGTTTTTTTTATTATTGCAAATCACCTTAATTTTTTTCAATCTATGTTAATTTTCTAAACACTAATTAATATTTAGTTTTTCTTTTTTAGGTATTCACTTTTTAATTTAGAAAAAATTAATAATATAGAAAATATACTAATATATATTATATTATAATTATAAATAATAATATGTTCTAAATTCTTTTTATTTTTTAATCGGTACTCAAATTTTAAATGTCTATTTTCCAGAAATGAATTGCTTTCTATTTTAAGTAAAAACCTTTAAATTTGGTTTTTTAACTCTTATTTTCTTTACTCTACTAAATAATTGTAACTCTTAAAAAATAAATTTTGTACCATTAAAATATATGATAAGTTTCTTTTTTCATATCTCTAACTATTTAAAAATATTTACTCATTATATGTTAAAATATAATGATCTAATATTTATTCAATCTCTATTCAAAATTTTCATATTGTATATGATCTAATATACAATTTTTTTCGTTTTTTCATAATATTTCATTAATTTTTGTCAATTATTATTTTTATTTAATGTGTGAATTAGTTTTAGTTTAATTGTTTTTGTTTTAATAAAT